GTTTTAAGGCAAATGGTCCGATTTCGCGAGACAGATGGACAAATCAATGTTAACTAAAATGGATGAAAATAAAAAAAACGGGTGTAACTTTTTGCCGATTTTTGTAACAAAATTATTTCATACAATTTCACTCCTTTACAGTGACATGGGTTTTTACAATGCGGGACACCTGAAATTATTTGTAAAGCTAGGAAATGGGCCAAAAGTGAATTATGCAAGACAAAAATGGCAACCATTTTGAAAATAGACGAGCTTTTGAACCAGGAGTCATAGGGGAGTTTTCTATCTTGATGGTGAACATAAATAACTTAAAACGGGAAACCTATCGACAGAGGTTTTAAGGCAAATGGTCCAAAAGTGGATTTCGCGAGATAGATGGACAAATCAATGTTAACTAAAATGGCTGAAAATAAAAAAAAAGGATATCAATTTCTCCCGATTTTTTGTAACAAATTTATTGCATACAACTACTCTTTACAGTGACCTGGCTTTTTACAATGCAGGACACCTGGAATTATTTGTAAAGCTAGGAAATGGGCCAAAAGTGAATTTCGCGAGACAAAAATGGCGGTCATTTTGAAAATAGGCGAGCTTTTGAACCAGGAGTCATATGGGGGTTTTTCTGTATTGATGTTGAACAAAAATAATTTAAAACGGGAATCCTATTGACAGAGCTTTTAAAACTGGCCAATTGTTGACAGACTAACGGACAGACGGACGGACAGACAGACGGACAAGTGAGTGATTGCAATTGCTCATAATGTGAGCTAAAAAGCACCCTCCTGCAAGAATTGTTTTATCAGATCATTTTACCGCACGATCCGGCAAAAATCGCACTCTCGGATACAAATCACACACAGGTAGGTTAAAGTTATTAGATGTTAACCTACTGCTAACTAACTGTCTTACTAAATAAACATAGATGATTGGATCATAATGTTACTGTGTTTATAAAACTAATCTAAAATCATACACTAAAATATACACTGAATATTTATATGGTAAAGTCTCACAGAATTGTCTATCAAATAAACAAAAACAGCTTTCGATCCTATCACAAACACCTATCTTCAAGTTGAATCTCACTAAAGCTGCATGTAACTTAACTAATAATATTCAGAATATAAAATGACTGCATATAATATCGAAAGATCTTATGTCTAACCCTATAAACGTCAGGCCCGTAGCCTGGGGGAGGGGGCTCTGTGGGCTCGTCCGAGCCCCCCCCCCCAGATATCTCCTAAAAAATGTGGACCTTCCTTTTTGCTTCCTTGAAGAAAAACTTGCTCTTCCCCACATTCACTAGGCAATTAAGATTAAAAAATTGGCATTTCCGTGCATTGTTTTTACTTATAATTTGGGCATTATTTTTCGAAATTTGGCCCATTTTTTTCGCGGACATATTTGTGCCCCTTTCCCTCTGTTTTTTAGGATCGTCCTTTGTGTTTTATTAAACATAGCCTTCTGGCGGTTCCAGGAGGGGGGGCATGGGGCCGCATGACCCTTTTGGGCCTTATTTTGTTTCAATTTCAGGCCAATTTTTCAAAAACAGCCTATAGATTTTCAACATATTATTTTTTTCCTTCATAATCAAAAAATACACAAAATATCTACTACTAATCGCCATAGGCATTCTAGGTAAATTTTGGTTTAGGGCCTTAAAATTGTTTATGCGCGGCCCGTAAGATGGGCCCAGAAAAAAATATTGTAGGGCCTCTTTAATTGGCCTTATCTTGACCTTTTTGGGTCAAAATTTAGGCCCAAATTATGGTTCTTTATGGGCTTTATGGGCTTTATTTTTTCAATTAAAGGCCAAATTTAAAAAAACGGGCCCGAATTTTGGTTTTAGGGCCCTCAAAATTTTACGCACGGCCCTAGGATGGGCCGAGAAAAAGATGTTGGGCCAAAAATATTGTAGGGTCTCTTTAGTTGGCCTTGGCCAAATGTTATGAATATTCAAATGAGCTTTAAAACCTAACAATAAATTGAAATACTAGTATTAACATTAACGGATGTGTGAAATAATTATATCTGGGCATAAAATATGAAAAGTAACAACTCAGGGTTGTTACAGATAGTTTGCATTTGAACGTTATATTACATCTGACATCTGGAGATTTTTGTAAATAGCCTTCGTTATGTAACACCCTATATTTTTATTTAGAAAAACAAGTTTAAGTACAAGTTGACCAAATAACTTATATCGATAGCTCTTTATTATCAAAAGGTTGCTAAAGATAATAAAATAAAATTAGCCTCGTTCATATAGTACTCCTACATGTCCTACCAATTCACTGGTTATCCGCTCGATTACGCTGGTTACCGAAACGGTTCGTTTTGGTAACAAAATGTCGGAACGTCGAAGGTACGATTTTTCTTTTTTTCCTTATTTCATGCGTTGTAGGCAGAATCCCCACGACGTTTTTTCACACAAATGTGTATCAGTATCATATGTTTTAGAAAATGTTGATGTTTGCGAAAAATAGCTCAGAAGACAACAGAATCGTCGATTTAATTCCTCACTTAAGTTACATATACGGTTTGGGTTAAAAGTGCAGATCTTAACTGTTTTTCGAAAAACCGTTTATGTAACTAAGTGAAGAATTAAATCGACGATTCTGTTGTCTTCTGAACTATTTGTTCGCACATATGTACATTTACTTAAACATATGATACTGATACACGTTTTTGTTAAAAAATGTCGTGGGAATTCTGGCTACAACGTGTCAAATAAGGAAAAGAGAAAAATCGTACCTTCGACGTTTCGACATTTTGTTACCAAAACGAACCGTTTCGGTAACCAGCGTAATCGAGTGGATCACCAGTGCAATTTAAAACAACTTGACGAGAATCACCAAAGTCTATGTGTACGTTTTGGCAGAATAGCCCGGAGATCACAATAGAATCCTTAAACATAAACTGTGGCCCTAAACGATTTTAACAGGAGCTTTAAAGTCGAATTTTACGTTGAACGAGTTGTGAGGATATAAAAATATATAAAAATTACCACAAAAGAAAGAAAAATGTACTTAACTGGAAAAACACAAATGACGTGAAACACATCCCGCTAACTTAATGTCGGGTACGGGTGGGCATAATAGAAATGGGCCGTACTTTGATACTTGATATCTCAGAAGCTCTCTCATGTCTGCTTCTAAAAGGTTACCAACTCAAAAGTCATTATGTTCTAAATAGGTAAACCGAATTTCATGTAAATCCCTTGAGATTTCTGTTCATGGGACCAAAATTAAAAAAAACGCTTGTTCAACCGTTTACATCTTTCCAAGTTTCACTTGAAAAAATGTGGTCGATCGGATCCCCATCTTCTCAGTAGGAGAAAACGTTTTTCCATGAACTGATTGAGTCCTGAATCTCCTTGAGAGTATTTTTCCCATCAAATGGATCTTACCAAAAATGGCCCGTTTTCGTTTGCAATAAATGTTATCATTCGTCTTTTGCACTCAATTTCAAATTGAAAGTTTTTTTCGTCCGTGAAGTCAATTTTCTTCACATTCTCCATCGAAAACATACCATAAACGTTTCTGCCCATGTTTCTGTCAAGATGTTTGATCATATTTTAAAGTTCGTATTTGCATGTTCTTTCTTTGGGAGCAAACAGTTTTTGGTTGTCCACTGCATGACTTTAAATTCCTTTATACAAACCTGTCCTTTTAACTTTCTGATCACATTGTTTAGGGAACTTTTATCGAGGAATTCTTTCGCAATTTTTCTCCTTTTTCAACCCTTCCATTGAAAATTGTTGCCAGACAACACTTTTCCAATCAACACTTGATCAATGCATATCACACGCGTGAAGCACACTATTTGCTCAAAACACCAGACAGGTGATGCAGTGTGGATAACCGGGATGTGCTTTTTTGAGGCTATGTATTCATTTTAACCCTGTGTGCAGATTACTCAAGTCATGAACTTGAATTTTTTTATTAACAACATTATGCCATTTTAATGTCTCAAGTTTGAAAGGGTTTAGACATGTTAGATAATAAGGATAATGGAGCAACGAAGCATCAACGTACGACTCATTTTGTTATGCCCACCCGATATACTATCAAGAATAAGTTAGGTCGATTGTCTTACTTGCAGGATATAGTCTTTGTTCTGAAAAAATCTGTCGATTTTTTGCTAGATCGTATGGTGAATTACGGAAAATAGCCGTTCTTGCAGGAGAGTGCTTTTTAATTTCTACCTGTGATAGTATGTTGAGAGAATTCTTAAATGGAGCCAAATATTGGGTGATAATCTTATTTTGGATTGATGGCGTCTTTTCTGTATTAAATATAATGCAAAAAATGTAACAATTTACAGCGATAGAATGGTACTAAAATTGACAATATCAAATTATACGTAATACGATCTAGTCTTAAATGCTAAATAACTTTTTTCATAATTGTACACAATCCTTGAGTTAATGAAATACAGAGTGACCCAAAACAACCTATAAATTTGCTTGTAATTTCTATATGCTAGTACTATTAAGATATATGCTTCCTCTCTGAATGTTCATGTAATTAAGGGGCTGGTTTGATGGACATGTTCCTTCAGATACCCCGATAGATAGAAATCTGGAGTGTTCAACTCAGATGAGTGTGGCGCCTACTCAGGGTCCCATCTCTTATCTCTTGCTGATCAGTTGATCCTCTTGTAGTGATGAGGAAGTTTTGGACAGAATTAGGAAGACGTAGGGGCATCCCTAGTGAGGAACAATGGTTCAAACAGGATCGGGCCACCTCACTTACTTCAAAACAATCGTTGATAGTGACAATGGTTTGAGGATCGATTGATCTATAGGAGATCTGAACCCGAGTGGGCCCCCCGACTTTTCTTATGTGTTGCATCATTTTCAACATTCCATATTTAATTTATATGGAGCCATTTCACACATTTGCAAAATACATGATGTGATGACACAGAAGACGTCACTAAAAAGGAAGCAATGTAAAATATGAACCTACAAATGTATTTTTAAAGATTTTTGTTATAGAATGTATACGGCAAGAAGCAGGAAGTAAACATGACGATATATTTTGCCATACAGGTCGTGCAATTTATATAGAAAATGTTACTCACATAAGATGTGACTATGATGAATATGAATATGACTATGACTATGATTGTTACTGTGAGGAAACGATACCAAAAGAAGATTGGAGGAATGATTTGATATATTGTAATGGCAACAACCATTGTGAGTTGACTGCTAAGTCAAGTTTCTGCATATCTTGTATTTTCTGTACTGGCTTTGAAGAAATATGCTACAAATGTTACAAATCTATCAGGCAATGTACTGGGACAAATATGACTTTGGCGTGTGGAAGTGACCACATCAACATGATATCAGTGATACATGGCATAATTGAACAATGTCCTAATGGCGAGGCAAGGTGCCGAATTGAAAACGTAAAACGTCTTGGTGCGCTTAAACAAATCTGTGATGGTCAGGCAATTTGTAATATAACAGCTACTCCTATCGGTAGATGTAGATGGGTTTCCCATACAAAACGAAATTATGAACAAATATTATATGAATGCATTCCTAGACAGACAACAACAAGAAGAAGGCAACAAACATCACTAGGTACGACATCGTTACATACAACAGACGATTCACCAACAGAAGAAATAGTTACAAGAAGAGGAACAACAGAAGATTATCAACGTACAACAGCAAGACAGGCATCGTCTGTTTCAACACCAAATGATGGATCTACTACTATAACAGAAGATAGTCCAATTACATCTGATGAGATAAAACCTGACCCAACCACAGATAATGAGAGCACCTTGAAGCAACGTGGATCAGAAGTCATAAGTGAGTACTAATGAAAATAAAATGTGTGTATATATTACATGTTGTTGATAATGACAACTAGAAAGGTCCCGTTGCAAACAGCTAATGTTATTCCTCTCAACAATCAGTTTTCAGATAAGTCTTGGTTGCGAAGACCCTTTATTATTTCGAATTCAGAATGTAACTAACCATGTGACTTGTGCTTTATTAATTAAGGTATCGTTGTGCCATCTATACTGGGTGGTGTGGTTCTACTCGCTATGATTGTGCTGATGGTATTGTGCCATATCAGGAGGAAAAAAGGGTAACAGAGACTTTTACAAAATGTTACATATCTACTAATTCCTTACCATGATAAGTTTTTCTTCATAGTGTATTCACAGTAAGAATGCTAAACCAAATATCCTTCATATGATGTCAACAAAAAATAAAGACAATCGTGTCAACACATTTATGGTGGGGACATAATAAAAATAGTTCTAATCCCAGATGCACCTCATTTTATTGACTTATTTGTTTTAGATCCACAAAAGAGAAAGAAAACCAATCAGATAATGACCAAACTTACGCAAATGCTGCCTTCACAAAGAACTTGAATGATGCATCTGATAAAGGTATGAGAGTGAAACTCAATATTGCTGTTGTTGAACCGATGAAATCACTTGGAAACAATTTCAATGACCCAGACCTCATTCAAAATGACATCTACAGTTCAGACATTGACTCCAAAGAAAATGGCCAATCATACCATCATAAATCAAGCCTCGAATCCAAGAAACATCAACATGAATCAAGCACAGATGACTATTCACTTGAAGGCGAGCCTGAAAATGCTGTTTATGCACTCCCTGATGGTGACACCAGTGACCTAGAAATTCAAGAAATGAACAAGAAAATTTCCATCACTGATCAAAATTTGTATTACGAAACACCCGAGGATGTCACCTCAATAGATGACCAGTCTAAACAGACCACAGATCAACCTTCACTTCCACAAAATAAAGTATTTGCTGCTGGTGATGTTGGTGAAAATCCATATAACACAAGACCTGAGGATGTCAATCCCATAGATGATAAGACCGGAGACATAACCTCAAGTCACCAAAATGAAACATTTGCAATCAGTGATGATATTGGTGAAGACCCATATTACTCAACACCAGCTACAGATGTTTCACCAAGAAGCATCACACTGAATGGTGAGAATGAGGAAGATGGTTATAATAGAATTCAATTAAGTGTGACAAAAGAGATACCCAAAGATAGAGCACTTGATGAGAACTATTCTCATATAAGACAACATGGTGATAATGAAGTTTACTATTCAACCCCGTATAATGCTTCTGAAGGAAATGGAGACGAAGTTGGATCCTTAAACAAGAGTAATGCATACTCTTACGTTACAAAGTCAAGCAGGAGTTCCCCACCAAAGGGTGCTGTGCTAGATGAATCAAGCAGTAAGAGGGGTGTGTATACTGAGGGAAATAAAGATAATGAATCAAATGGTAAGGAGATAGAGCTAATAGATAATGATGTCTATTCAATTGAGGTTAAACCTGATACTGAGTATGAAGCTTTGCCAGATGAGGAAGGAAATAAAGATAATGATTCAAATGGTAAAGAGATTGAGCTGATAAATAATGATATTTATTCAATGGAGGTTAAACAAGATGATCACGAAACTGTAACGAAGCAACCATTTAAAGCCAGCAAGGATGTCAGTGAAATGTACACTAAAGTGGACAAAACAAAGAATCCTAAAATTTGAACAATGACGTCCTCTAAGACCTCATTCTAAGAAAGAGAATTATAAGCAAATGCTCGCTCAAAAATCAAACAGCAATCCCTATATAGCTTACACAGACTATGATGTTTACAATTGAAGTCGAACTGCAGTACATTGCTAGTCTTAAGTCGTGTTTGATACATGAATATATGAAAACAATATACTGTTAAGCATGTTTTATATCTGGATATATAAAATATTGATATCTACTAAATTATTTTCTAAAATATATAAACACAATAAACTGTAAAACAGAGTACTATGTAATCAAAACAAAATATTTCAAAGCATGTTTATTACATGAATATATGGAGACAATATACTGTGAACACTTTGTCTATAAACGGTCTCATGTTTTGGATCCAAAAATGAAATTCATATTATTTAATCATGTATACAGTGTTACGTTCGAAAATAACAGAAAGTAAAAACAGCAATTAAAATATGATAACAATATATTTATATTTTGAAAACTAAATAATATAACAATGATATAAAGGAGATTTAATACTTAAGTGATGTCCAATCAATGGTACGGCTTATTCTTGATGTCGATAAATGTCGTTGACGATCCTTGAGAATGTTCCAGATCACGAAATGTTTCAATAATCGTTAATAGTTCTCCAATGTTTGTTGTAATCCTATAATGTTCGTATCCTATAATGTTTTATGATAATCCACAAATGTTTATGATAATCCACGAACGTATATGATAATCTGTATATAGTGTGTGTTGTAATATCACGGTGTATAACCCAAACGCTCCTACATGCACGACGGAGCGTTACATTTACGCGGAAACGCTCCGGAGCGAAATAAAATGGCGGCTAATGAAGATTCTACTATGACCGTAAGTATTCTTTCTCTCGTTTCTCTTACATATCATATGTCATGGTGAAATATTATGTACCATTCGATGAACAATACCGTGAGCAAAGATCTTATTTATTCAACTTCTGGTGGTAAACTGTTATTTGCTAGATCAAAGCTCCGTAGTGTAGATCGAACGAATCTCAAGATGACGATTTGACCACAAATTACGAATTAAACGAGTATTTCTATGAAAACGTTAATCTTTCTGTTTAAGTAGTAGATCACAAACTCGTATATTCTCATTTCCTAAAATCCCAGTCCAAATCCATTACTTGTTCTCGAGAAATCGCTTGTTTTCCTCGAAACGCTCCGTCGATTTAGACCACAATTTTAGAAACGCTCTTACCATTTTGTTTTGATATCATTTTCAGATTATTAGAGAAGAGTTCCGAATCGAATCTATCTCTCAAAAACGTGTTGTACTTGTTAGGAAAATTGAAACATCTGAACCTGGTGGTGCTAAACGTGCAACTAGCTGATTAAAGCCTATACATTAGATGCTGTCATGCCTACATATGTGCTAAATCATAAAACTATAGAAAAAAACGAAAAGTTATATGTGAATTAATCGTTCTTCTATTGATGCCAAGGGGTATAATAGATCTTTTCTTTCTCTTCCTGAAAAGGAAAGGCAAGCTATATATTTCCTTAGCTGATCTAGACTACCGGAGCGTTTCCAATTCACTGTGTTAACCAGATCGGAGCGTTTCTTGAATATGAGAATGTCATCATTTTTAAGACTGGATTTTCGGTCATCAAATCACTATTACGATAATGTATGGTGCGTTGAACCATTGGAATTTGACTAAAATATACGTTGGTGCTCTAATCTTGGCTCAACTAATCACATGTATCGACAAAAGGGGTTTTGACCGGTAGAATGACAAATACGTTTTTGAATTTTGATAACTATACTGCTTCGTACAGCTCTTCCTAATTGCTTCAAACGTCAACAGCCAGCCACGTACAACATGAATATCACACCCATCGAATGGTATACTCGAAATATGTAACTCATACCTCTTATTCCCATTATTGGGGAAATTGTCAGACGGCTCATCATTCCCGCCAGACAGTTTTCCTACTCCGGAGCGTTTCTTTGTTTAATTTCAGTAATGAAACGCTCCGTCGTGCATGTAGGAGCGTTTGGGTTATACACCGTGAATATATGTCCATATAAAGTCCTCAGGTTGTGTGTTTTTGTAGTGTTATAAATGTTCCCACAGTAGGTGTCTGTAATATTCCGCTAAGAAGATGTCCTTTGATCAACTTTGAAATTCTGCTTTATTTAGTTCCTTTGAGATGTCCAGTTGATAACTTATAATTATCTGCTACAGAGAAGATGTCCAGTTATGATGACTTAATTTCTGCTACAGAGAAGATGTCCAGTTATGATGACTTAATTTATCTGCTAATGAGAGTCACTGTGCTGTTCTTTTTATAATGTGAAAGAATGATCCAGAAACGAATCTTCTGGAACTACATCTTGATTGGACATCTTTAGTGACATGATTAAATTCTAATGAATGGTTATAATTTCTAGAACTCTCTGGATGGTCAAGGGTTAATGAGTCATTCAGTTCAGTTTTGTTTACAAGATACAGTGTATAATGTCATTGTGACCTTGACCTAAGATCTCTAATGAAGAATAGCTCAACATATACAGCAAGCATAGATTACAAATTAAAAAAACTATAGGTGAATATAGTAGAATATATACATGTAGCTCACTACTGTAACAACAGTAGCTTAATTGCATACACTTTAGTCTATTAAGAAGACTTTTTCTTGCAGGGATCGATGGTTTTTATATGCCATTTCGGTCTCTTAGATTGTGACATGTTGCATGTTTTGTATATATTTTTTATGATAAATAATTAAATGAATGTTAAAACATGAATCAATAAACTGTTTACATATTATAATTATTACAGTTACATATTTATTATTACTTTGACAATTATTCAAGCAGAAAGAGATGATGTGAACATATTTTCATCACACTCTCTATTTTCCACCCTGTATTTATTATAAATGTTTGTATATTTTGAACATATTCAATAATTATACGATCTATGCACTGGTTGATCTAGGTGGGCCTTGGGACCCCCCTCCCCTTTGGTTGGGCTCTGAAAAAATTAGGGAGCCAAAAATATTTTACTGGACTTGAAATGTGGTCCCCCCTTCTGGATCGGCCAGTGCTATGATAGTTAAATACATCTCACGCCCGGTTACGCTCGAAGATGAGCTAAAGTAGTAATGATGATATTAAATATGAAGAATGAATGGAATAATGTCGTTCGTAATTTTCTTAGCTTCATAGCCTATCAAAATAAGATATAATATAGTTTGATTTCTAAATATGAGAAAGGATAGTCAAAAGACACAACATTGTTCCTGTTGCTGTCAGGGCTACTACTTGTATACAAGAAAACTATACTTATTGTAAGATTGAAGATCCGAGTACTTAACATTAAACATTAACATTAAAAATATTAACTTCTTAACATGACAATGGACATGGACTAAAAACAGTGAACTACTTGAACCGTATGTCAATACACAAAGATTTCAGATAAATCTACTTGAAGCTGCAATAGTCATATGATAACATTAATAAATTTCACTTCCTTATTCAGATATCACATTTTTGTTAGATTGATCATATATCAGGTCTAGAAGTAACAAAGTATTTACCTTCAAAAAACTAATAGAGATATTAAATGAGACTACAGAACAAAATAGGTACAAGATGATGGCAATAAATTTTGTTAACCGATGCATTGTTTTGGTGATTATTGCGATACTGATAACAAGATGTGATAACACGGGTGAGTTGATTTAATTCAAACGTTTTAAAATGCAAATACAATATCTTTCAATTAATCATTCACTTGTGTCTTAATGTTGACCTTTTTATTCCTTCACATTTCTTCATGTGTCGAAGATATTGACATAAAACATAAAAAATATTATTTATTGTTAGTACCTCAGTTGAAATACTCGATTTTGATTGGTCAACGAGCGGTGAATAATTTTAACTGTACACCGCGCAATGCATTGCCGGTGAATAATATTCCCATCATTCCACTAAAATGACGTCATTATCAGACGATAAAATGGCCGCCGCTAGCACTAGCCGTTTCAAAAATGTTGAAGATGAGGATATTAATAGTCTCTTGGAGAGTAAAGACAGTCAAAATACGAAGAAAAATCTAAAACTTTGTACAAAGCTTTTAGTGGACTTCGCCCAGGAGATTAATTTGACTCCATTGAGTGAACTTACTGCCGTGGCAGATGAAATACAACATGAACGTCTCGAGGGTCTGGATCCAACTTCAAGTCAACTTCAAGTGTCAGAAAAATCTAAGATATTCTTCTGACTAACAAAACAATTATAGACCTCTCCATTCGGTTTACTGTCAAAATTATATCCCGAGACTGTAAACCTCGACCTACGGTCTCGGTTTACAGTCTCGGGATATAATTTTGACAGTAAACCTCTGGAGAGGTCAATAATTGTATATTAGTCTTTTCACGTCACATCATAGCAATAGACTATACCAGTATAAAATGTTGATTCTCGCCTAATTACATATAAAAAGTCCTCTCAATGCGATTGAAAATCTATCCTACATATAACTTTAGATCGAAAATGGGGTCTTGAAAATTGGTTATTAAATGTGATTTTTAGGTCGGATCTATTTCCCATATGTTCTATGTTGTAAGATCATGAAAAGTTATTAATTGTATTGATTAGATAATAATTGAATATGTATTGAACACATTTTTGATAATATAATCATAAACTCAGAAAGGCTAAATGAGAATCGATCCATTTTCTCATGAATAAGTTAAAAGACGGACGTTTTGTATACCTACAATGTTATCAGACTAGTGTAAATAATGATCGATTTAAAAACTGAATACTTATCTTTTCAGAATGTGAAAAAAAGAAGCATAATTTCGATCTTAATTTGGAATGTGTTCCAAATGACACCATTTTTATAACAAAAGTCACTCATTTTCGCACGTGTCCATGTCCGTTTGATTGTCATGAAGTAATTCATATGAGTGATTGGAGACAAGAATTAGTTGATTGCAACGGAAAATATACGTGCAATTTAAAAGCAGTATCAACATGCGGCTGGTGCTTTCTTTGTCCTCCTTATGAAGAAATTTGTTATGACTGCCTCTTGTCCACCAGACAATGTAATGGACAAAATATGACTCTAGAGTGTGATGAGAACTACTGTATCAATGTATCATCAGTAATCCATGGAACAGCTAAACCATGTGATGGGAATATAAAATGTAGTAATGTAAATGAGCAAAGGCTAAACTATATATCAGAGACCTTTAACGGTCTGGAAAAATGTTCATTTCAATCCACACCAACAGAATATTGTGATTTTTTTGGGGTAGATAACAATTATGAACAGGTGTTTTACGAATGTGCACCTGACCCCAAACCTTCAACAAAACCTTCGACAACAACCCATTTTGCAACAACCCTACAACATACTATACATTCGTCAACAATTTTACCAAACGATAAGTCAACAACAGCAACAACAACACAGTCGACCCAAACTTCATCAGAACCTGCCACAACACAACCGACTACTACAAAATTCCAATCCTCCGTCGGAAATACATCTGTTTCAACTGCAGGTAGCACCATTGGAAGAACCGGGAATTTGAATACAACCATTGCTGACCTGACAACAGAGACCCATGAATTAACAACTTACAGAGAGAGAATACTTGAACACCAGGCACATATAACCAGTAAGCAACTTAAAACAAACAAAATTATTATCTCATCATTTTGGCAATGTAAGCAGAGAGCATATGGTGGCTAATACTTATGCTGTATTTTTAAATCACGTGATATTAATATACGTTGTACAACCTTTTTCACAAGGTTTATTTTCTTTTTCACATTGTGTCACAAGCCTTATTCACGTTTTTATTCCAGCTATTATTGTGCCATCTGTAGTTGGACTGCTGGTTCTGTTTAGTATGATTGCATTTATGGCAGTGTTTTTAGTCAGGAAGAAAAGAAAGTAAGTAATGAAGAGTTACAACTTAAACATTAGATAAGCATTGTATAAGGATAAACGATGCCAAGCTTATATTTGAGTATGATGTCTCTCTGTACTCCTGATATAATCATAATTCAAATAAATTTTCATAATTTGCATTATTGTCTGTTAGCCTAACTGTCATATTTCATGCATCGATGTAACATTGAATAGTTGGAATCAATCCTCAATACTATAGCAACAAAAACAACATGAATTTGCAAATCAAACTGTCGGGTAATTGAAAGATCATGTTAATTGTTTTTGATGATTTAGCTCATAAAGTGTTTCGTTTGATTGCTTAGTATAAGTAAAAGTTAATGATAAAAAATATTGTATCTTGTCTCTAAATCTTCTATATCTATTTTAGAGCAACAAAGAAGTACAATAAGGAAGAAAGTAAATCAGATAATGATGATAATCATTATGCAAATGCTGCCTTTACAAAGGACTTGAATGATGAATCTGATAAAGGGATGAAGGTGAAGCTAAATATTGCCGTTGTTGAACCAATAAAATCACTTGAAAACACATATCAAAATGTCAATGATCCAGGACGGATTCAAAATGAGTTCTACAGTTCAAACATCAACTACAAAGAAAATGGGAAAGCAGCTTCGAAATCTACAGAAGAGCAGCATGGATCAAATATCTATATAAATCATCATTCCTTGGAATCAAGCACGGATGACTTCTCACTTACAGATGAGCCAGCAAATGTATATGAACTCCCTCATAGTGACATGGATGACCACGTTATCCAACAAGAAATGATCAATAACATTTCCATCACTAATCAAAATGTGTATTACGAAACTCCAGAGGATGTCACCTCAACAGATGATGAGATTAAACAGACCACAGAGCTAACATCAAGTACACAAAATAATACATTTGCCACTGATGATATTGGAGAAAACTCATATTACGCAACACCCGAGGATGTTAATCCTATAGATGATAAGACCAAAGACCAAACCCCAAGTCACCAAAATGAAACATTTGCAATCATTGATGATATTGGTGAAGACCCATATTACTCAACACCAGCTACAGATGCTTCACCAAGAAGCATCACACTGAATGGTATGAATGAGGAAAACGGATACAATAAAATTCAACTTAGGGTGCCAAAAGAACCAAAAGTGAACAATTTACCAAGGGATGAAACACTTGATGAGAACTATTCCCATATAAGAAAACATGATGATAAAGATGTTTATTATTCAACTCCTTATACTGCTTCTGAGGAAAATGGAGATGAGGTTGGATCATCGAACAAGGCCAGTGCATATTCTTATGTTTCAAAGCCAAATGGGAGTTTCCCATCAAAGAATGATGTGCTAGATGATGCAACCAGTAAGAAAGGCGTGTACACTGAGGAAAACAATGGTAATGACTCAAATGATGAAAAGATTGAGTTAATTGATAATGATATTTATTCGATGGAGTTAACTCCAGATGCTGATTGCAAAGCTGTATACGTACTAGATGAAGAGAAGAAGAAAAATAACTCAAATGGTAAAGAGAGGGAGATAATAGAAGATAATGATGTCTATTCGATGGAGGTTAAACCAGATCATGAAGCTGTAAAGAAACAACCATTCAAAGTTAGCAATGATGTCAGTAAAATGTACACTAAAGTGGACAAGACAAAGAATCCTAAAATTGGACTTTCCAACCATTTTAAGAATATGCAAATGCTGGATCAAACTAAATCAAGCCGTAATCATGATGACATCTATTTGACAGACAATGACATTTACAATACATGACCTCAAATCTGACTGCATGGTGTATTTCCCACAAAATCCTGAGACTAAGATTTGGTATACAGTAATCCAATATCGTATGCGGTATTCCAAAAGTGCAAAATATGTTTCATATACAAAATATATGACACAATAAACTGCATTGTGAAGCTTGTTTAAAATATGAATATATGAAAACAATACAATGTAAAACATGTTAAATATGAATGTATGAAAACAGTACAATGTAAAACATGTAAAATATGAATATATGAAAACAATATACTGTACAGAATTTTTAATATATGAATACATGAAAACAATACAATGTAAACATGTTAAATATAAATATATGAAAATAATAGAATGTAAAACATGTTAAATATGAATATCTAAAAACAATATACTTTACAGCATTTTAATATATGAATACATGAAAACAATACAATGTAAAACATGTTAAATATGAATACATATGGAAACAATAGAATGTAAACACGTTAAATATGAATATATGAAAACAATAGAATGTAAAACATGTTAGATATGAATATATGAAAACAATGCAATGTTAAACATGTTAAATATGAATACATGAAAATAATACGATGTAAAACACGTTAAATATAAACATATGAGAACAATACAATGTAAAACATGTTAAATATGATATATGAAAACAATACAAAGTAAAACACGTTAAATATGAATATATGACAACAATAGAATGTAAAACATGTTAAATATGAATATATGGAAACAATAGAATGTAAAACATGTTAAATATGAATGTATGGAAACAATAGAGTGTAAAACATTTTAAATATGAATGTATGGAAACAATAGAATGTAAAACATGTTAAATATGATATATGAAAACAATACAATGTAGAACATGTTAAATATGAATATATGAAAACAATACACTGAAAAACATGTTAAATATAAATATTTGAAAACTATAGAATGTCTCTGGTTTGCATGACGAAACTTTTGGAATCCAGATTCAACTTGGCTTAGCTGAAATCGGAGGACTGTCGAGAACGAAAGAATTTCGGCAACCATCTTGAATGACGCTAACTGCAGTTAGAGTCATTCAGCTGTGGATCAGTGCATATATGATCAATAGACAATGCATCAATTTATTCTATTCAACATATATTGGTGTATATTTTTGGTTATGTCTCAACTCCTTCGTTTTGCTGAAACATACAATGCACAAAACATGATACTAGGGTGAATAATGGATAAATATTAAATTAGCTTAATGTCGGCTACCGGATTTACCTGCTTTTTTATGAGCAACTCATTTAAATGTGAATAGTACCTGCCACTATCCTATTCATACCTAAATGAGTTGGTCGTGAAATATTAGGTTAATCCGATAGCCGACAAGCGTTAGTTGCATTCGCGAATACTATAGGCTTAGATGATATGTCCCGTCAAAACGAAATATTTTTCTGTAAATTATTCCTGGTATTTTGAATCACATCTAATTCAAAATAAAACAGGATAGTAACACTAAATAATCGAGGCATTGACAATGCAAGATAACTGCTGTTTCCTTAAACTATTTGAAAACGCCACGATAAGATGCATCGGCAATGTGCATTTCACTTCCTTGTTCTGGTGGCTTATTCTCCATCCAGCAGTGCTACATGAAGAATTAACGGAGGACTGAATAAAATACATATTGGTTGGTCATTATGGAAAATTACATTAGATACAACTACCTGTATATTGTTGTGATAAATCTGACTTGGCTGTCACTTTGTTATAGCAATGGTAAGTTTTATTTTTATTTTGCTTTTTCGAGCAATTATCATCGTTATGAAGGATTTACTAGATATATTTCCTTGTATAATGAGTACATTATGTTCCCTAAGATAATGCCCGGGAGAAAATGATGACCTTATCGTCTTCATAATATAATGATAGCCTTTGCCCTCCTTGGATATTGACAACTTTTTAACTTCCTTGGGCCTAGATGAAGATATTTTTTCCTCCTTAGATAACGGTAACTTTTGTCATACATATATAAAAATAGTTTTCGACCTTCTTAATAATAATGACGCTATTATTCTTAGATAATATATTTTGAAACTCGTTGTCTTCCTTAGATATGTGCACATTAGTGCCAAATGGAAAGGACCAAAAATTGATACAAAACCCATAAAGAAAAAGAAAACAACCAAGTGTACACGAGTCAAAAGGACAACAAACCCCAATTATTTCAAATCATAATCCAAAGTGAAAATATATAACTTTTTAAATCTTTGCATTATTATACAATTATGTCATCAATAGATAATGGAAACCTGAACTGAACCCCCTAAAATGGCTAATATTAATTATTGATAATGTATTCATTTCTGTTTTATAGAATGGGTATCCATAGAACATAACATAGAAATGGCTCTGTCTTGTGGGAGGGGTGAAGCTATTTACATAGAGAATGTCACTCGTGCAACAACATGTCATGAAAGCAATGAGCTGATACCTAAAACAGAATGGGGAGAAAGATTTGATATTTGTAACGGAGAGAAAAAATGCTACATAACCGGACATAACTCGTCAGCCATAGAAGATTTTAATTCCAGTCGTATAAATGCTACTAACGTCTGCTATAGATGTCTCAAATCTGCCAGAAAACGCAACAACCGAAATATGACTTTGGATTGCAATCATGAATATATCCAAACAAGAGCAGTGATACATGGGCTAAGCGTAGATCGTTGTCCAAATGACAAAAGGTGCTGCCAAGTTGAAAGTTCAGAACGACTCGAAGAGATTAAAGAAATTTGTGATAACCAAGGTACATGTAACATAACATCTACTCTTAGTGGTGGTAAATGTCAATCGAAAAAAAGAAATTACGAACAAATATTATATGAATGCATTCCTCCTCCACCAACAACTCTTAGCACATCTAGAAAAATTACAACAATTAGACAGGAAACAACACAGGCTACAACACCTCAACCAACATCAACAACAACAACAGCCACGCAGAGAGAAACGTCAACTCTAACTGCAATAACAAAAGCAGCACATTCAACAAGATTCCAAACAGAGGAAGTACTAGTATCCAAAGTTTCAGTTCCAACTAGTACATCTACTGTAAAAGAATATTCTACAAGTACTGCAGATGAGACGCCAAAAACACATAGTGAGATTACAACAAAAGAACCTGATCCTACCACAGACAAAGATGATATTTTGGAAGAACAGGGTTTCGGAAAATATGAAAGTAAGGAATTTTTATTCTTCACAACCTCCATATGTGTACATACTAGTATTTGAACATGAATTCCAAAGCTACATTTGTATATGCTTAATCGAAAGTTGTTTTTTTTCATATGTAATTTTTTTATTTCAAAGAATAAGCATGTTAAAGCAATAGTAGTATTATCCGTTGGAATGAAGCCTGCTAAAGTGGGACCAATGGGACCAATGGGACCAATGGGACCAATCTAGGCCAATGGGACCAATCTGAGCCAATCTGGGACATTCTGGGACAATCTGACGCAATCAGGGGCACTCAGGGACAATCAGGGAGCGATACGGGAGCTGGCGACCAATAGGCAGGCTCGAATCGATAACGTTTACTTCATATATAGATAACGAATTCCACCATCTGAAGATAACAAATTCCACCATCTGAAGATAGCAAATTCCACCATCTGAAGATAACAAATTTCACCATTTATGATTTTTTCAACATTTTAAAGATAAGGTGATATACTATATAATGGCTGAGTTTTAGACAGGTCTGCCTAATCACGTCATCTGCAGCAGAAAAAAATAGGTAAGTTGAACTTTTTAAAAAAAACAACTTAAGGTGCTATTCTAGGCCCGCATTAAGGGATATGAAAATTGGATGGGAAGCTGAGGAGCTAAGACATCCGCCCTACTGAGCTATGTAGAGCCATTGATGAATACGACTGTTAACCACCCGCTTATATACTGATTAGGAGCTACTTGGGCTGGAGAATATGTCACTGATTAAGGAGACTGAAATGCGATCGAGTCTCGAAACACGAGTCCAAAAATGTTTTTAACCCAAAATCAGAAGGACCGAAAATTAAAATCCGTTCGTCCGTTTAACATGGCAAATCCCATTGGCGCTGGGAAACGTCAGAAATTAGGGGGACCAAAAATATGTTACGGTCGAATTAGGGTACTCAAAAGCTATTTCAGACCAGCATTTAGAGATCGAAAAGCATGTGTGTGAGAAGTCTCCACGTCTATGGCATACAGATGAACTTAGTTGTTTAAAGGAGCCGAGCTCCTTTAAACAACTCGCGTACCGTACAGAATCCGAGCTGTATACTAGAGTATGCCCCCAGTAAGCAGCAGCATGATCGGGGAGAAACAAAATGACACAAAAAACGTAGGCATTGATGTATATGTTCATTTTATTTTAGCCAGAAACATTCTAAGTACAGTCAATACAGCTTTAATTCGTCTCTTCGCCCTCCGTCTTTTATCCCTCAAGCTGACAGCTCTGTTTGCCATGAATTCCAACGTTTCTCTATATGGGAGGAGTTTTCTTCGCTCCTCTTGGGACAGAGTCACGTTTTGAAGAAGGATGTTGAGTATCACTTCAGAGATGACTTTAACTTGAGCCAATGTCATTGTTTTCAGCAGCACGCGTCTCTGTTTTGTAGTAGCTTCAGCTAGATATGTCAAAAATGGAACTTGCTTTCCAATTGCATTCATGTCACAAGGAGACCCACGAAGAAATAGCGTTTTTCTTTGCTTCAGTTGTATCTATCAATTTTTCGGCTGCTCTTTTGCGTGTTTTATGAGCTGGAATACCGGGAGGAACGAGGTTGATTTTTCTAGCTCCCTTTTCAATGGCAGGAACTCCTCTCTCCTGATCCCTATCAGATATGTTTTCACCAGCTGGAGTGTTTGTTCTAGGAGTTACGTTAATAGGCCCAGCTCCGTTCTGCTTTTCAATGATGCGTGGTTCTTTCTGCTTTGGTGATGACTGATCTAGTAAACGTTGATATCGTTCGTAAGCAATCAATACACTTCTCCCGCTCATGTTCGACTGAATCCTATCCTGAACTCTCTCTCTATTTATAGCTGCGGATATATTATTGTATCCTGATTAGGAAAAATGCGAGTTCTGACTCTGGTGACGTCATCACTATGAGGAAAGAGATCCAAAAATAGGTAGCCGTATGGAGCAGAGGTGGCATCGTGGTATGACTCCATCAACTGTCTCCACTTTGTAGGACTGAGCTGTCTGGCTAACGTCATGATCTGAGTCTTGTCCCTCAAAGCTTTAAACAAGACTAAATACTGCGTATTGAGCGCTATGGTTCGAGTACCTTTGTAAAAGGCCTGTTGACTTATAAACAGCACATTCAAGCATCTATGGTGACAGCCTTGAGTAAACATGAGTTCCATCTCCTTGTTGTTAGCTACCTGATGAAGCAGGTCGTCCAGAACTATCACCGTACTCCTCCTATCTTTAGTCAGCTCATCTATCATTTCCCGACTAGGTAGGCCCTGGTGCAATTGAACATTTTTCAACTCCATTTCCATTTGATCGAAAAGCGGTTGATGAATGCCGTAGCAATACAGAACAGCTTGTGGTCCGGGAGGTTCGTACATGCCAGATAGGTTTTTCAACAGTTTATAAACGAAATGAGTCTTCCCGCTATTACTGCTACCAATGATCGAGCAACTCGTGCCATTTCGAAGTTTAATGAGGCTCTCCGTCTGCCACCAGTCCATGATTGGTAATGTTATGAAAATGGGAAGGCTCCTTCATTTATATATCTCGTACATCCTTCGCTGGAATCCACGTGTCAAACTTGGAGGGCCAACCCTGCCAGTGGACTAGGGCTTCCTTTCCCCTCCCTCTCTTTCTATACTTTAACACAGATTCGATTCTATGCTGGGCTGGTTCCTCAGAAATTTTCTGCATTTCATCGGCGTAGAATAGTCCCTTGATTATTTCTCCTTGTAGATCTTCCAGGTAATATGTGGGAGGATCGGTAGCATTCCTACTCTTGATTCTAAAGTATTCCGTGGACCATTTCTGCTGATAGCCGCGATCGAAAATTCCCTTTGTAAAAGCCAGTCTCACCAAATCACCAATGTCGAAGCGATAATTGACAGCTTCATCTCTTTTAGGCTTACTCATGAAAAGGGTCTCGAAAACCTGCAGTTCGTTATCATCATCAACATCCGCAGGAGCCATTTTGATGCTTCTATGGAATGAGTGATTGTAGCTATCCACTATAGATTGGAGTTCATCGATATAACGATTTGTGGCGTTATGGAACATATATCGGTAAATTTTATGCTTCAATGAACGAATAACTCTCTCCGCAAGGTGACTCTTCACGGTCCCTTGCGTCAGGAAGTGCCACACCCCTACACTTTTGAAATAGGCTTGAATCTTTTTGGATCGATACTCAATTCCTTTATCGCTGCGCAACCTACTAGGTTTGTCAGTGGCAAATATCTTCTTGAACGCCTCGATCATATCTTCGCTATTTTTGCTTTTGATTGGCTGCACCCACAGGTACCTGCTTAGACTGTCAATCATGATGAGAAGATATTTGAAACTGTCATTTTCCTCCGCATATTTATCCATCATGGCTAAATCTGTATCAGCTTGTTCTAGCATATGTCTCACCACTAGTTTTCTACGTTTAAATCTAGTCTTGACTCCCCTGTATAGACTGTAGGTTTCTTGTTGACTCAACCAGTCCCTGACATCAGCCTGCTTGATTCCCCGACCCTTAACCTCTCGCCAGAGTTGTTTAAAACCGCTGTAAGACCCCGGTCTACTGGGATCGAAATATATTGTTTTAAGAAGCTTAGACTGCAGCTTGCTCAACGTCATGATAGCGAATGAATAAAACACAATGTAGGCTACTCATTTTATTTATTTATTTCATATAGTGATAATAGATATTGAATGGTTTCAACGACCTCCTGTTCATTTTTATACAGTACATTATTCACGATATAGTCCATGGAATAACCTCGGCATCTCAACAACAGGAACATAGTGCAAAAGTGTCCACAGCTGGAACTGTTTAGATTTTGCACGCGTATGGCATTATACTGCTGTTCATTCGTGTACGCGGTGAATCCATAGACATCTGGCGCATTGCCCAACGGATCAAAAAACTCCAGTTGTTTATGTCCAGCGTAATAACAGGTCCAATGTTCTCCAGGGTGCCAACTCTCCTTGGTGTTGAGGACGTAACACTTTCCCTCTTTTAGACGATTCAGCATATGATCCTTAGCATAGACTCCCTTGAACGATGACTCAGTGTCAGGATGCGTATCCAATATGAGACTTATCTGCTCAGAGTCCATGGTCACTCCAGAATTATATTTCTCGATAAGTCTATTTGAAATTTATCGGGGAAGGTTGCCAGCATCATCAAGTTTATTGGTTCCGCCAATGGTTCAGTAAACTGCGCACTCACTTTGACACTGCCTTTCTTGACTAAAGGAAAAGAGAATGTTTCGCTGGTTTTATCTTGAGCTTGGATATTGTACTTGAAAATGGCGTAACCGAAAGGGAATGACATCTTGTCAATTATCAAACCCTCATCATCGTGGAGGTCTGAGAATAAACGATCATATTCGTTGGCGTATTGATTTTCATAGGGAGCATCCCCAAACACTGGTCTCAGAGCTCGTCCCGGGACACTGGTACCGTCTATGGCGACTTCTAAAAAGTTTACTTTGAAGTGATGATAATTGAATGGGTTTAGGTTGTAAGCCCCACTGGTAGCCTTCGATTTGGTGAAAAAAATCAACAGCCTGGATGGTACATTCCCTTGGAAGCAATCGTGTATGCTATAAGAAGTCAGCCCCTGGGGAACTATCCATGAACGTATCTGATTATGTTCATAAGGGTATACAGCGTTGCGTTCTTTCAATTCCATGTTATACGATGTGAGAATACCAGGAGACACAGTTATCATAGGAACAAGGAGATGAGCATCAAGCAACTGAACTCTATAGTCTGCATCTGGCTCATTCGAAATGAGGTTGAAGGCATCTTCGCTGGGTGTCAGTTTCACATTGATCGGTACGCCATTTAAGATATAGCGATCCATTTGAAACAGGTCGTGTAAAATAGGACCTTGCAGCTCCACCTCTCTAGATACCATCGTGAGTGTAGCTCTCCTCTTTAACCCTGTGTTGTTCCCAGATATGGTATTGCTATCATCTATGAAAGCTGAATTCTGAATAGTCCCTTCGTCCTTGTAGAAAAATTCGTTTTGCAATCTTGAGTTATGAGCCGCTGGTGACTGTGTCAGAAGTCTGTTTAGATGAGCCTTATAGGGGTAATAATTGCTGGAGGAGCTAACCACTTGGTGCTGCAGCATGACTTCTACTCGCTGCCATAATGCGTGCATCCATCCAGTTACTGGTGCTACGTTTGATAGAGAGGGAGATATATCCAAATTCGATCCATCACTCTTGGTGATCTTCAATTTTAAAAAGAGCTTGACGTCCTTCAGATTGATGAACTGAGAAGAGTTGTTTGGGATAACAAACTCCACTGGCGTTCCACGTGACAAGGGGTTCACAGGGCGAATTTCCACGAAGTTGACTGTTGTCACACTGCTTTGAGTGCTGGGTGTCTCGAACAAGTTGAGGCTACCATCCAAAATGTCTCCACTAGAGCCATCTATTTTGAATGCCATATTTTATACTCCTCAGTTGTCCTCGTGCGTTTACTCTTGGGTGCTTTGTTAACTACTGGATCACTAGCCTGTCGTTTTCCCTTATATATCGATCTTTGACGTTCTATTTCCGCCTGTGCTCTTTCCACTACAGCCTCAGTTGGAGATATAACAGTGACTGGTTTCTTAATGATGTCAACAGAAATCCACCTATTTCTGTGTTTTCCACGTCCAATTTGAGTGATGATTCCCACCTCTCTATCAGATTTCAACAGTTGCTGCCACTTGTTGGTGTTATCTATATAAGGTACTAGCTTAGGCATTCTTCTAAATCACTCTTTTTAAGTGTATTGTACAAGTCAGTCTCTGGTTGTTAAATGAGACAGATTGGTTGTCACTTCCTCTTATATAGAAATGAATTCTATCAAATTGATTGAATTTCACGGAGGTGTAGAGCACTGGATTGAAGTATCGCCAACCCTCTGCTGCCTCTATCCTCCTTAAGATGGACTGTTTTCTTCCATTGACCACGCTTTCATCCATCAAATCGCAGAAAACATCCAGGTAGGCTACACTTGGTTGGTCTACCAATGCAGGAAGTCCTATTTGCAAGAGTCCTATTTTCCAATATCCTTCTAGGTTTAAATAACTAGGTAATTTCACTGTAAAATGCTCACTGGTGTTAAATGGGAAATATTCTCGGGAATCCCTACTGTCCACGTGTAAATAATGGTCCGTATCCATCCTATGGTTCAATGTAAATGAGTGCTATTTGGACGAAGTGTCTCGTTTTATGCTACTAAAGTCCCCCCCACTAGTTTTTACGTTCACTATATTACTTAAATCAATGTTACTGTTTTCTTCATAGGAATATTCTCAGATAATTGTTTTGGTTACCATTTTATAACTCACCCTGTATGTTACTAATCCGTTAGATGATGTTGTGTCACCCTGTATATAAGAAAATGATTTCAGAGAACATTACAATTAAAGGGGTCATAAAGACTTGAGACGAGTTGGGACTGCTACAATTTTACTTACTTTGATTTATTTCATTAAGCAGTAACTCGAGAAATAATGTTTCAATTTGATTGTTTCGAACCTTAAAGTTTCAAAGACCTTTGACAATTACAATTTAAAGCTAAAAGGAAACCCTAACCTGCTTTTTGAATCTTTATTACCACTTTAATTATTCATATTCTATAAGCGCGGTTAAAAGTGAGCACGGGTATGTGTTATCTCAAGAGGGTCAACTGATATACAGTCGAGAATATACAGTCGATATATAGCTAGTATGAGTATATGATATCAAAGTCCAAGGCAAACTGTTGCTAAAAGCGTTTACACTCTTGAGAAGTGACTAAAAGAAACCATTTTATGAATTATATATCATGACAATGTACACATATAATGGCTATGGATTTTCAAGAAGTGGGAGTTATGGCAGTTGACTACTATGGGAACACATTCAAGGAGGTGAGAGTTGTTTTTTGAATTGTGGGAACATACTCTTGAAAATCAGATCAGTACATTTTAGCAGAAACGCGGAAAACACGAGCTAAATTATATGTTTCAGAAGTCTCGCTGCTGACTGAAGGGATCTCACAGAGCAGACGAACATGGCACTGTCAACTCAACTTAGAATGTTTCTTGATCGAAATACAGGTCTGAATTAGCTTTGAGAATTCTAATTAAAGTGTGACATATCTTTGGTCCTCTAATTTCAGATGTTTTCGAGTTTCAATGGGGATTCCTTTGTTCAACAGACACATGGGTTTTAATTTTGGGGCACCTAATTCAGTTTAAAAATATTTTTGAGGCTATTATTTCGAGACTCATTTGCATTCCAGTCTCCTAATTTAGGTGAAAAAATATTTTTGGTCCTCTAATTTCTGATATTTCTGAATTTCAATGGGATTCCCCAGGTTATACAGACGTACGGATTTTAAATTTCGGTCTCCTAAATATCGGTCAAGAATATTTTTAGGCTGGTATTTCATGACTCGTTTGCATTCCAGTCTCCTAATTTAGGTGAAAAAATAGTTTTGGTCCTCTAATTTCTGATATTTTTGAGTTTTAATGGGATTTCCCATGTTAAACGTATGGATTTTATTTTTGTGGTCTCCTAGGTAATAAACTATTTTGAGGCTGGTATTTCGAGACTCGTTTGCATTCAAGTCTCCTAATGTAGGTGAAAAATATTTTTAGCCTGATATTTAGAGACCATAGTTTATGTTCCATGCGAAATAGAGGCAAGATGTGTTTATTCCTACTCAAAATAAATTGTATCTGATCTTCTTTGCAGGTACATGGTTATGGGACTATAAAGACTAAACCTAGCAGAGGCATACCTAGAAGAAGCATCTTTACAAAGTAAACTACCAAATCTATCGGATTATAATGACTGTTTACTGCTATCTTGTACAGGTAGCGTGCCAACAGATGTGTCAGCTTGAAGGATAAACGATCGGGACTAAAGATACGAATAAAGACCTCATTGACTGTATAAAGAATGTTTCTGGATCTAGATTAGTAAAAACAAGTCTGAAATTGCATTTGAGAATCGACTTAACTGTTTTTCTGTTGCAGATGACGTGATTAGGCGAGTTAGACCTGTCAACCCATAATATATTATATCGCCTTATCTATAAAATGTTGAAAAACTGAGGACTTTGGATCCATTTTATCTCAAAATGTTGGAAAATCTTATCTCTAATGATGAAAAATGTTATCTTAAAATGGAGGAATTTGCTATCTTTAAAACTGGCTAAATAAAGTGTGTCATTTTGTTTCTCCCCGATCATGCTGCTGCTTACTGGGGGCATACTCTAGTATACAGCTCGGATTCTGTACGGTACGCGAGTTGTTTAAAGGAGCTCGGCTCCTTTAAACAACTAAGTTCATCTGTATGCCATAGACGTGGAGACTTCTCACACACATGCTTTTCGATCTCTAAATGCTGGTCTGAAATAGCTTTTGAGTACCCTAATTCGACCGTAACATATTTTTGGTCCCCCTAATTTCTGACGTTTCCCAGCGCCAATGGGATTTGCCATGTTAAACGGACGAACGGATTTTAATTTTCGGTCCTTCTGATTTTGGGTTAAAAACATTTTTGGACTCGTGTTTCGAGACTCGATCGCATTTCAGTCTCCTTAATCAGTGACATATTCTCCAGCCCAAGTAGCTCCTAATCAGTATATAAGCGGGTGGTTAACAGTCGTATTCATCAATGGCTCTACATAGCTCAGTAGGGCGGATGTCTTAGCTCCTCAGCTTCCCATCCAATTTTCATATCCCTTAATGCGGGCCTAGAATAGCACCTTAAGTTGTTTTTTTTAAAAAGTTCAACTTACCTATTTTTTTCTGCTGCAGATGACGTGATTAGGCAGACCTGTCTAAAACTCAGCCATTATATAGTATATCACCTTATCTTTAAAATGTTGAAAAAATCATAAATGGTGAAATTTGTTATCTTCAGATGGTGGAATTTGCTATCTTCAGATGGTGGAATTTGTTATCTTCAGATGGTGGAATTCGTTATCTATATATGAAGTAAACGTTATCGATTCGAGCCTGCCTATTGGTCGCCAGCTCCCGTATCGCTCCCTGATTGTCCCTGAGTGCCCCTGATTGCGTCAGATTGTCCCAGAATGTCCCAGATTGGCTCAGATTGGTCCCATTGGCCTAGATTGGTCCCATTGGTCCCATTGGTCCCATTGGTCCCACTTTAGCAGGCTTCATTCCAACGGATAATACTACTAGCAATTGCAGGAAACAATTACAATACAGTTACATGGCAAACATACATTTTACAATTTTACAATACAGTATTGGTTAAACGTTAGTCTTTAAGAAATGTTATACCATTGGCAGTTTGTTAGAATTTGATAGTCCTAAGGCTTGATGCTTTCCTGATGTATTTCAGATATTCTTGCTGTTGTTTTGCCAGCTGTGCTTGGTGGATTGATTTTGGTGGCTATTATTGTGGTGCTAATGGTGTGCCTTATCAGACGAAAAAGGAGGTAGGAAATAAAAAGAACAGTTTTGATATCAATCAAATTACCAAGGTTTTACTTGACTGTAACATTACGTATTCTCCGATTCCATATCATAGCTTTAGTCAGTATAGCATGAATTAGGCCTACTGCCGCCTAGATATTGTAATAAAGGTCTTTGATTCTAAGGTTATTGATTGGTCGTTTATGGCGAGGGATTACTTCGATATATTACCTTAATTTCTTTAGTGTTGCCTTGGTGTTCCTGTCGTAATTGATATATAACTCACTTTAAATTCTACTGATGAGAAAGTTCACATATTCATTGAAATTTAATGACAAACATTCAAATATGTCATTCTCCTGAAATAAATGACGACATTTTTTACTAGGCTCTACTTCAAATGTAATGACAAAAAGGATGAAATTCTAGAACTGTGATAATGATAATAGTTCTTTTAATGTGGCCTCTCTCAGATTTCAAGGTTCTCTCTCAAAAATAACTAATAGGCTATCCCATTATCTCAAATGTACTTTACCATATTTTAGAGCAACAAAGGGGAATCGAAGCAAACCAAATAATGATACACTTCATGCAAATGATGCCTTCATAATGGACCTGAAGGAGAAATGTGACAATGGCAGAAAAGGAAAAATCAATGATGAAGTTGTTCCAAACGAAGTACCTGAAAACATCCATAAGAGATGCAATGATGGAGAAAGTGACCAAAATGGAGATGGCAGCCAAGACTGCTATGATAGAATTCAACTTGGTGCAACGAAGAATCCCAGAGTTGGTAAAAAGCTTGATGAGAGCTATTCCCATGTCATAAAATGTGATGATAACGATCTCTATTATTCCACTGCCGTTGACGTTTCCGAAGAAGACCTTAAGGAAGAAAATGAAAATGAGATTGGGTCATTAAAAATCAACAATACGTATTCAAATGTTACAGAACTAATCACGGGTTCCCCATCAAAGAAAGCTCCCAAGTTTGTAATAGCAGATGACAAAAGAGATGAGAGAAGCACGCATGCCAATGTAAATGAAATTAAAGAAACAAAGGAAATGCTACCACATAATGATGACTATTATTTGAAAGTGGCAACACATACTGAACCTGCCAGTGGCCATTCATCCACTTCCACCAAAGATATTAGTGATATCTACGCAGCAGTGGATAAAACAAAGAAAAATAAAGCCAGATTCTGAGTTAAAGTGAATGTAACGAAACCTCTGGTGTCCGTTTGATAGACTATGCCATTTACAATGACAAATGATGTATTTAAATACAGTCGCGTGGTTATATGTAAGAATAATTAACTCTTAAAAACTTTGAGGTTCATTAAACTTCTTAGGAATACAGGGCTCTTATTACCACAGAAGTAGAATATTTTCATACCGGCTGAACCACAAGAAAAGTGCCTCATAAAAGAAACACTTTTTAAAAAAGTAGTCTACATTATACAGTATATTTTTCAGTATCCAGACACCTGTCTAATATGAACACCTCCCTATGTGAACATTCTTTTTTCGTCCAGGTTATCAATAGAATGTTTTCCATTATTTAGCTAATTGACATCTGTTAGACGCCAAACGTTGTGTAATATATTTTGGCCCACCCTGTAAAATTAAACTTATACTGTATCATATGAAAAAACTCAATAAGATAAAGAGATAATTGTTTGAATGCCCCTCATTAACAGTGACAGATCCAATGCGTCACTGTGCGTGTTCCTGTGAGATAAAACTAGGGCTAAAGTCCTATTTTGTTATGATATCATTAAGTAACATTATACCCGCTTCACGATTCTAAGTGATATAAATCCTTTTTTAGCATCGGGTCATACCACTTCCTGGAATAATATATGACATAAAGTTGCTTTAAATGTTTTCAATTATATCACAAATTGGAGTTATTTCAATGATATACTAGATTGAAATAATTGTTCCAGGAACTCCTCAATTAGGGCATTAAAATGAATTGTACAATTATTTTATGAATCATCCAAATATGTACTATTCGTGATAAAAAGAAATAAAATTGCTTTGTGATATTTACTAGTAAAATGCATTTATTAATGTATCAAATATATTTTGAATGCAAAGTAAAAATGAGAATTTAATTAAAAGTAAGTATTTATATGCAAAGAAAATAGAGAGTTTACGCAACCGCACTTATAGCGTGTTTATAAATCCCTTATGTTTAACGTATAAAGTGTCATCACTTGTGACCCAGCTCATTTATACGGCGCTATCGCTTATAAAACGTTGCTTATAAGTGAATAAATGCTTATTTCATTTTTCTTATTTCATTGTTGGTAGGGAATCCAAATTATATTTGGCAAGAAGTAATATTACTATCTAATCCATAGTATAAACAAGAAATTCGGAGGAAAAAACGATTCAATTTTGGCGAAAAGAACATTAGAATTGATCGATGATTAAATAAACAAAGAAGTTATTCACCAGGAGGGATTTGATTTAGGGAATATCACAAAGATTATATAATTTCCTAAGGGAACGCAGTGACAGAGGGAAATATTGTTGTTATCTGAAAAGGAAACTAGAATAGATGTCTTCCAGGGTATTAACATGTTTGTCTTTCTGCAGATCTATCAGTCTACGGATAAATAGATGTCTCCCATGGTCTAAAGTACCCAAATAATTTGATACAGATAATGTGTTTTATTTCAAATAAAACACATTATCTGTATCATTGTCCGTGTTGGCATCATCCTGTTAGCATCACGATGTAACTGGTTTTACGATTCTACTAATTTATTTGACTAATGGCGATGCAAAAATCAAACCATTGTCTTAACAACACTATTTATATGACAAGTAATATCATAGCCTATGACCATAAAATGAAACACTACTGCCATGCTCTGTGGCCATGAAATGAAATACCATTGTACTGTCATGCTCTGTGTCCATGAAATGAAATACCATAGTAATGCCATGCTCTATGGCCATGGAATGGAATACCACAGTAATGCCCTGCTCTGTGGCCATGAAATGAAATACCGTAGTAATACCATAGCCTATGACCATGAAATGAAATACCATAGTACTGCCATGCTCTGTGGCCATGAAATGAAATACCATAGTACTGCCATGCTCTGTGGCCATGAAATGAAATACCATAGTAATGCCATGATCTGTGGCCATAATATGAAATACCATGGTAATGCCATGCTCTGTGGCCATGAAATGAAATACCATAGTACTGCCATGCCCTGTGTCCATGGCATGAAATACCATAGTAATGCCATGCTCCGTGGCCATGAAATGAAATAACATATGGTCCATCATCCATGATTGTTAAATGGCACCATTGCACTTCATAGTCAGCAGCATTTTTAACATAGACTCTTCCATAAAAAATGCTGTTCCGTAGTATTTCATCTGATGAATGACAATCAAGATTTTGGCAATGAAATACCATTGTATTTAAAAGTCGAATTTTATCATGGACTGCCTTCAATTATGGTATACCATGGTCAAGAGCTCACAAAAAACGTTATTGCCACCATGGTTAGCTGTAAGAGCTCATTGTAAATTCATTGCTGATCAAGATCGGTTCACGTTTTCACGTTTTTCGGTTATAGATTAACATAGCGTGCAAATCTTTGGGTAGACGTTGTTATTCCCAGGATACCCAAACGCCTAAACACATGGGCACTCAATGATCTTGATTTGACATCATGGTGCAGAGAAATTGTAATTTTACTGAGTGGCTCCACAAAAATAAAGAATATAGCAATAAAAAAGTTAAAGGCCACCTTCATGGCCTTAAAACGATGGTATTCGATGGTTAACGTTTAAACATGGTAATTCATAGTTTGTATTCTTCTATTGACATCTCAGATAGATGGCATAAGGTAAAATAAGGAGAGGCCATTTTTAACATCCAATTTTGTTGTATACTTTTGCCAGAAATTCTCACAAAAGTCCGAAAATTTAAAAACTGGGTCTTGTTTCCGAAGCTATGCCTCATTTAGCAATACCTAAATTTTCAAAAGGCCTGGAGACCTGCTCTCTTTTTAAACAGAGATTTCGCTACCAAACTGGCTTTTTAGACAATTCTCGGAGACAGTGCAAAGAAGAGAAAGAGTAACAAGTCTAATAAACACTTAGGTACAACACTTTTGTATTTTAGATACAGATGAACACCTAGCTGATGTGAACACTTTTTGGTTTTTGGCTCCATTTTTGGATACTGATATACTTATCCAATTGACACCAATGTTGTCTGAACTGCTAAATGAACTGCTTATGGTGTTACAAAAGTGATCAACTTCAGACCCGTAGCCAGGATTGCCAAGGGGGGGGGTCACTTTTTGATAAATTCCAGGGGGGGTTCACTTGTGACAATTTTGGTCCAAAAATGGCCAAAATCACTAAAAAATGCTCAGAAAACTGCATAACTTTGAGAGAATTTTTGGCCAAGGGGGGGGGGGGGAGGGTCGCCCGAACCCATCGAACCCCCCCCCCCCCCTGGCTACGGGCCTGAACTTGAAAAGTGTTTCTTAAAAATAAATTAAATGTAAAACAGGATAAGCCCACTTTAAAAATCTCTTCACGTTTAACACCTGACAACAATAAAAAATTTATCATCTAGAATAAATTATATGAATATGAATAAATATCACACTGCCAGTGCTATAGATGTCTACCAAGGACAATATAAAACAGGTACATTTGATAACGAGGACCAACTTTAGGGGAACATGGAGTTCTATCACAGAAATGGTGAGTATGATACTTGTTATGACCTGAGTGTTTGATTGATAAATCGGTATTCATTTGCACTTATACTTTAAATCCTGTCAATATTGTCGATTTTGTCTCAAAAAGTAATTAATAAGATTTCAATTTGACCAAATGGGAAAACAAGATTTACTTTTTGATAGGCTACACAACTGAGTTAGGCCACGTCCATGGTTAGGCCTACCATTCCCATTGATTTAATTACAACATTTATGAATGTGATTTGAGAAATGATTTTACACCTACGTCACTTGAAGACAACACTTGTATGCGCCCTATTCGCCCTTTATGTCAAATTTCTAATGTCAATTCTCTTTGATAAGATTTGATATTGAGGTTTCCACCCTGGTTGGGTTATCAGTTGTGGCCAGATTATAGCCTAACCTCAGCTAGCTACCTCATTGTGACATCACATGGCATCGCCTAGCAACAAACAAAATATTGACAGCAAACACAAGCCATTAACATGACCAACATTTATTCATAAACATGTAACAATTTGTTATAGATCCTGAATGCTGACTGCAGATGCAAAAGCCATTCACGTCTTTGTGGTGACATAAAATGAAAAATAGTAGTACTAGTATTCTCACATAGCCTATAACACGGAAGAGTAACTTCAATTTCTTACAGGAGCTTTTTATAATGTCTGGGACCAAGTGAGGAAAGCAATGAAACATTTAAAATTCAAAAAATCTCCTTTACATGTCAACAGGAACATTGCTGCATGTCAAAAGAGTTTTAATCCAAATTGAAATACTTGCCATATATATTTTTGCTCTACCAACACACGTGATGCCATCTATTTATCCATCTAATAGCAAATAGTCTATTGATAAAAGTATTTGAGACTTGCCTTACTGTAACAACATTGATCATTTTTTCACTAAGATCAACTAAATATCATGGGATGAGGAAAGCAATAAAAACACGATACCTCTCACAAAGTCAATAAAAAGACAAAAATGGAAAAGTGATTTGTAAGCCTGGTCAGTATCATATAAAGGACGTTGTGAGCCAGTCTCTCTAATACAGTACACATCGTTTAACAAAAACCTTAAAATGTCGAACAATATGCAATTGTTGAAATATCAATATTGATAGCTTCCTCAATCAAACAGCAAAAAAAGTTTACGTTGGCCTGAAATTGGAGCAAGGGGAAGTTACTACTAACCTGAATTTCGTTAAATGCATCTGATTTTTGATTGGTTAAAATTCAACTTCACGTTTTGGGGAATTAACCTATGACAGTTAAAGATACATGTGTAATTACTTCACAGATAAAAAACGCCCATTCATAACACTACAACTTCCTGTATAGATCTTTAATCTTGAAATAGTCTGCCAACAACAATTACCGCATCTCTGCCTACATTTTTATAAGTGTTTTTTCAAGGGCCCTTATGTGTTTCCAAGCTGCTAAAAATATGGTTTCAGCCCACTTGAAGGTTAAATATTGTTATAATGTTACAATGTCTCTTGGAAGTAATTAATATACAGGGTGGTCCAAAAAAAAGTGAACCCCTGCAACATGCTACAATTTTCTTAATACATGCATGAATTGGCTCATATTATCACATGTTGTAGAGAAAGGTCTAAAATTTTGGTTGATGCCTTAATTTATTCTCAGTCTTTAATTTTGAAAAAATTACAAGCGTTTAACAAACATGCCTGGAAATTAGATATTGTACAAAATTTTACAAATGTGATTCATGGAAATTGTTGAAACACATTGGATGATCTTAAACAGCTTTCAGTTAGAGATACAAGTTTAAAACCCTACCATATGACAAAAGGGACACTATTCAAGCAGAAAACACATTTCACACTTTCATTGATTATTTTGAAGCATTTTTAACTGTTCAACAGTTCAGGGTTATGTTACCTACACCAACAGTTAGAGGGGCCTCTTATGGAGGGAAGTTGCCCCATGTGACCAGGAATCTGATAACCCCTTCATTAAATATCTTTAAAAAATCAAAAGAAAATCCAATATTCAATGTTTTGAGCCATACATCATAAGAATTGGTCCATGATTTATGAAGATATTGACATTTCAAGATCATATAGGGGAATGTTCATGATTTCACTGGAAAATGTTTTCGTCTGTGGAAGCTTAGCACATCTCTTTGGATCACAATAACTTTGCAACTAACAAATGTAGGATGTTAGTTTTAACCCATAATGTGCAAGATTTAAAACTGAACAGAAGTCAGAAAATATTAGTTCTTTAAGACTGCAGCTTAAAAAATTCTCAGGGGAAAGGTGTTAAAGGGTTGAAGAATCGCTGATATTGAAAATCACAATTTGTCCATTTTCAGTAATGTTTGGTTAAGGCTTATAATTTCTGCAAATTTCAAGACTAAGAAAAATGTATGGTATCAACATAACTTTTAGACCTTCCTCTACAACATGTGAAAATAAAAAATAATTCCTGCAAGTAATAAGGGAAATATGGCCAGTTGCAGGGGTTCACTTTTTTTTGGACAACCCTGTATATCCATGTGCTGGACCAATCGAATCCTTCGGTCGAGTTCAAGGACGCTCAGACTCTGTGGATGAAGAGGATCCCATGTACACGGCTTCAGCCTCCTCCATATAGTATTCTATTAAATTGAAAAACTGAAAAATGTCGTCATGCGTTTTGGCTCCTTTTTCAATTTTGATTCATTCTTTTACATGTGACTAGCTCATGTATCAAGCATGTCTAAAAGATAGAAATTGTGAATTATTTGAAATGGAAATAAACAGCAAAAGTCAATAGTGTTTCTAATTTTGGAATAATTCATCCTGAGTATTATAATAGAATCTGTGATTTTTTGTGTAGATAACGGTGTACTTATATCGCATGTTTTTTACAAGATTTCCACCCGGGTATGCGCTCGCGTGAAATCATTCAAAAATGTTCAAAAAAACAACTTTGAAATTGTATTTCTGTCTTTCCATTATTTTTGGATTGCTTTCACACGTACATTTTATTAACTTAGTCTAGGCCTACTCATTTTCTAAAATGATTTTATCAGGATAAATTTTTAATTGATTTGCTTTAGTAGCCTAAGTCAGATTTCCTGAACATTCAAGTTTTTGAGCGGCTTCAGCCTTGGCTATTTTATTTGATGGAAGGCTATGCCTGGATCCCTTGGGTCAAAACTACACCAACGGTAATACACAGAAAATCAGCCTTAGCTTGAATATCGCAAATGCAACTTTCGACTGTTGGCTATATGGCTACCGGATCAACCTACTGACCTACTATTTCATTACCAAGGAAATACTACTTATATGGATGGATGGCAGTTACTTTTTATACTTATGATTTGCCCATGAAATAGTAAGTTAATCAGGTAGCCGACAGTGAATAAAAAATGTAGAACTAACCTTTGTTGTACTCGCGAATTCAACTGCCGGCTGTCGGAATAACCTACTATATTATGACCAATTCATTTAGCCGAAACATGGACCATAGACGTCCTTGCATGGACGTATATCTACACTGCCTGCCACTATTCCATTTCCATTCATATCTAAATGAGTTTGCCATAAAAAAACTAAAATTATGTTAAACCGGTAGCCGACAGCGAGAAAGTTGCATTCCCCAATATCAGAATTGGGACCCCCCTCCCTCTTGTTAATTGCCCGGGGTTATTGCTGGATCCGCCACTGTAATCCCTATTAGAGAAATCTATTCAGCCATGGATCGCAGCGTTATATTCGTCAATTAAAATTGTAGGATGATTGGCCACCTCTTACTGTTATGATGACATATTTATCAATGGATTGGAAAAAACCGTCAAGTGTTAAAACTTTCCATAACCAACTCTTGAGCACCATTTTGAATTTCCCGGGATTTCTTGTTCCGGTGACCTCTGACGTCATCGGGTTTCCCACACAAATGACCTCTTTCAGGTTCAGAGAGAAGTAGTAGAAAAGCATGTGAGATGACAAAACAAACATTATCGAGTGAAAACAGCAATAAAGGAACATTGATCTCATCATGGAGTACACACTAATAATTTATACAGTTTTAGGATTGCTTATAACAGTGAATTTAGGACAGGGAAGTACGTGTGATACAGATTTAAAAGATGTTGGTTCGAAGGCAATTTTTTCACAAATTGTTGTGGAATCAAAAATTCTCAAAAAGGTGCTTTCCGATGCTAGTGAAGGATCTCTTGCTAAATATACAGCTGTAGTGTCATTAAAAAAGTTTTATAAGGGTAGCATTAAAAACACTAAAGGAAAAAAGCCAAAGTCTATCAAATTAAATGAATTCATATCTAAAGATTCAGAGGACTGTCTCGCAGAAATCGATTCTACAAAGACATATATTCTGTTTCTAAACTCCACTGACAAGCAGCAGCATTTTATAACTTCATCAAAACCAGTAACGTCAGACAAGAAAACGTTAAAACTTATCCGAGGCATTTTGAAGAAAAAACGTAAGTATTTTTAAACTTTTCAGGTGGTTACAAAACCTCACGTTCAAATTTTACACATTGGTCAAGATTGTCATACCGACACACCCACTCATTCATACACACAACATACTTCAGATGTGACATTATGTAGTCAAAAGGTGATAGTTTATTGATGTACTGTATTTTGTATTGGGTCATGTATAAAATATTTTACAGCTGAGATCAATAGAAATCCAAATAATGTAACCAAGTACTTAAATTCTGGCCGATGATAATCCCATCAAATGTAATTCATAGCGTCAAGGCCAAACATGGTATTAGTTCGATTCAACAATACACACTGTTGTAGTAAAGACAAGACTTATCCTCAATTGGTGTTAAATTTAATTTTCAAATACAAGTCACTAACATTGAAGTACAGTTGTGAAATTAACAAACATTGTAATACATACATTGAACTATACAGTATACATACTTATATAGTTTAAAGGACATCGAATATGTTTATAGAATTTTACATTAGGCTGTAATATATGTAGGCTTGTTTTATCCAGTTTAAGTATATTTGATCAAAGTCTTGAATAAATAAGTCAAAATTCCTTTTATTAGATCAGTCTGACCCAGAATTGATAAATACACATATTGAGTATTCGTAATGGTTATAAATGATTCTATCATGCCTAAGTAAATCTTTTTACAGTTTTGGCAAACTTGGGAAAGGAAGTTATGATTTGGTGGGATAATAACCGTCATATCATTAATCTCCCAGTGGGTATTGATTGGATTGTTGTTAACATGTTACATATCAGATATAATATATACAAACCACATATAGGGAAACCAGCCTGAATTATTTCAAGCTTTTTGGCTAAACCTCAGTTTAAGTTAAACTCACCGTCATGTTATTATTATGAAGTTACTTAATTTTATTTTTTATGTGAATTATTTTTGAAGTTGTTTTTCTTTTGATAGATATAAAAAGCTTGTAAATAAGTGCTGAATTAGTAAGGACGTTCAAATATGAATGCTCAATTTTTTTAATCAATGCCAAAATAGGGCTTCTAATATTTATTTACCTATGTTTTTATTGCACATTGAACAAGCTTTAACCTTGCAAAAGTGCAGTTTTGTATGAATCATTATGTCTGTAATAATGGGAGCACCTGATAGTTGATAGTTTTATTTCAGCCATGTTTCTGGCTAGTTGTGGAATGAATTCCCATCCTTTCCCTCGGGCGTTTTTGGTTGTTGCTATAATTCCTTACTTTGTTATTATGAGGTTTTTGGTTTGGTTTGTAAACTTTACAGTAAACCATTTAACTTGCAAATTCTTACATAGTCAAATATCCTAAGATTTCCACCATATTAGCACGCTCAATAGCCAAAACTAAATCCAAAACACAAATTTTAACCTTGCTATATATAATTCCATTGAACTACAAATACAAATATATTTTTGTGATAAGATTGCTGAAATAAACAAGCAAATATCTGTGATTGTCATATTAACAGACCGCCAACTTAATACATTTTTAACTGAGTTACTTTAAGTTACTGAATATGCCATTTAAGAAGGGTTCTAATTTTTTGTTTTGATTATGAATTATCCAATTTACCAGCATCCAATATTCAGAAATCCATATATATATACATACTGTACAGAGCCAGTAACAAGAGTTGAAAAGTTCCAGGAATATATATTGGTACAACACTAGTTTGTTTATTCTTCCCAGAAAGAAATTGGCCTGATTGGCAATTCCCTAATTAGATTGATGTATGGCATATATTCAACAGATAAATAAATAGATTCCCTAATAGATCTCTGTTCCTCTTATTAGTTCAGGTTTACTGATAAACTAATAGAGATTCATTGCAAAGATTTGACCATTTGACCATAGATTGAAAATGTTCATAAGTGAGGTAAAAATTTACCAGGACAGATCTTGCACTATGAAAAAAAGTAAATTATGGCCTGTCCTTCCCAACACACTTGAGATCAACTGGACAGCTTAACTCGTTTGCACTCAGCTGGGTTCCTTGAAGTAAAGTCTTGAGAACAGCATTTATTGTCCCTCCAAGACCATTTTGTTTTTATAATTGTGGTAATCCGGCAATAAAGAATCCTATATTGGAATCTATCAAGTGCTATGCCTCTTGAGATAAACCCAACCTTAAAAAATTAGTTCTGATATTGATGTGATAACGAGTAGGTTCTATCATGGAATTGTTTTGGATGTTGGTCTAGACTTGGTCAATACATGGGACCCGGCACACTTTCAATCAAAGAGAGTGAATGCAATGTGTTTGTGCTTAGATTCCCACTGGAAATTAAGTGTCAGATTTGTCATGTTTTGAATACAAAATTGAGTAAAAATGATCCTGTTTTGGAAGGAATAGTGTAAACAGGCAAAACGTAAAGATTCAAAATTTTACAAAAATGCCAGAAAATTGGGCACTTCATTCAAATATAAGAGACAAAATGCAGTGAATAAGATCATTGGCCGACAGAATTTTTACACAGGTTGGCCAGATTGGAAGAATTTGTTTGGAGGCTCCAGAGTTGAGCAATAATTTCCACACTTATCTAAGATATCTAGCCTGGGCTATGCTTGAAAGAGGTTCAAGTCTCTACAGTGATGTGTTAGAATCATTTAGATAAGAGCTCTCTAGGCCATTTATTCCAACCTACTTAGATGTGAGAATCACCCTGAGTGTGTCAGCTAGTCATCTACTCTCTGACTAGGATTAATTAACCCCTTAAAATCCCAGAATCATGGATTTATCAGTCACAAAATATCTTAATGCGTCTCTAACAATTTTTGTTCAGTTTACACAAAATACATATTAACATAACGTATGTATTCTTCTGTGTTCAGGAAACTAAATGAACATCAAGGGTTGAATATTTAAGACAGAAAAATGGCAAAAGCGAGCATTGATGGACTCTGATTGGCTGGGCCAGTTCAGAGTTTCATTTGGTATTTGAGAGGGTGACACATTCAATTAGTCTCACAAAGAGTACATGTGAGACTTACTAAAAAGGAAGAAATCATTATTTTGTTATTTGTTAAATGTAATTGGTTGTTAACTTGTCATTGGTGGGAAGTAAACCTTTTTTCGTGATGAACCGTTTTCCTTCCTTGTTTCTAGCAAAACAATACTTTGTACTTTTCTGCCTACTAAACAGACACTTTCAACCAATAGTATGGTAGATTTTTGCATCGTAGGCGGGGAAACAGTTTTTTCATGATCTTCCTAATTTGTAGCAGATTAAAGGATGTATTAGATTCAGTAACTGTCCTATTTGTTTTTATCTCCTCTGATTCAAATATATTGTTTTTGCTGTTAAGTAAACACCACTTTGAAATGTTATTGTTTTTTAATGCGTTGGTCTCAATATTTAGTTTTTATCTTCTGTGGGTGAACAATATTTTGCTTAGTGAAGCACTTTGAGGAATTTCCACCACCACTTTGTTCTGTGAAACCATAAGCCGCATTATTGAGATAATTAGTATATGAAATGGCTTGTCATGGCTTTAATCTCGGGAATGACGTGTTTCAATATTTAATCTTTGGAGCATGTTATTTTTTATGAGGAATAAATGGGTTTAATGGCGGTCAGGCAAGTGTTGAGTAATTAAAACAAGTAAGGAGTAGTTGATAGACTATAGATAAGGCACATCAGCGGTCATGTTTTGAAATGCAAAATAAAGCAAGAAAGAGTGAAAAAAGGGAGAAATAAATTAAACAGGCATGTAGTTGATACTTTGAATTTTATAAAAATGTCAAAAAGTTAGATACTTCATTCAAATTTAAGAGAGAAATCCCGTAGAATAAGCATGAGCAGACGCCATTTTAGGTGTGGGATAAGCCAACCACTAAGCATCATCCAAGGGGTCTGTGATCACTCACAAGGTCCAGGGGAGGCAATAACCATGACAACAGCTAGGATATCAAGAGGATGTTTATTTGGTGATCACATCACCGAGATCTCAGTGTGTTGTTTGTTACTGGACTGCTAATACCTGATTCTCATTAGAGGGACTTTAAGATCTTGCTTTGGAAAGCATTAATAAATGTTTTCCTAGTTGAAGGATCAAGAGATTGCACTTTTTGTGGTGGGGCGATAATTAACACTGACAGGGCTAGCGCTTTTCTTTAACCACTGGGTGCAAACTGCTCAGCTTTTGAAGGAAATCTTCAATATCTTTTACTCTCAGAAACACTTAAGTACTGGAGACACTAAATTATTTATGCTGGAGAGATAAAGTTCCACAATCCACCGTAATCTTTCAACATGCTCAAAAAATGTTGTTGTTTATCTCTACAAAGCAGCTGGAGGTTTTTAGCGGACATCTAGGCCCCAACTCCTACTTGAAATGTCATCTACTCTTATTTAATCTTATCTATTTCTCGCTAAAATATGATTAAAGTCCATATTTTTGGCCTTATTATATAATATAAAGTATAATTTCTTGCAGGTGTAATCATATCCTCTCTAAATTCACTCAAGTATGCTCATATATCGCTTTCAAATGTGATTAACATGAATGGGAAATAGTGGAGTCTTTTCACCTTGAGTGAGAAATGGTAACGATTAATAAAAACCCTGATTGGCCTGAAAGGTTTAATTCACATCCATCATTTTCTGAGGTCACTTTGCTTCATTCTAAGATTCGTTCTTGATGAGAAAAGGCCACTTAGCAGACATTTAATAATAATTTTCCGAAATATATGATTTTTTGATTAACTATTAACTTTAGCTTTAAAACTGCTCAGTAATCGAGATTCTGATGGCGACTTTCTTGAATGTTTTGTATGATTCATCATTTTCCTAATAAATTTGAACTCTACAGGAGTCGTGATTAGGTAATTTCCCTGATTTAATTGTTAACCATAGTATTTGATTGTTGCTATGGTAACTGACACAATACAAAACCAGGTAAAGCCATTATTTCACATTATGGTTGATATGGTATCAGAAAATGATTTAATTGCAATGAGTCCTATAAAAACTGTGA